ATAACTGAAATCTGCCGCAGAAGTATACAATTTTTAAAAATACTTTTTTAAATAGAAAGCATTGAAAAATTTTACAGCTTCCATAATTCCAGGCATTCTTAAACAGAATACTTTAAATATAATTCATTGTGTGTGAGTGTGTGACTACTGAATCTGATCATGTCACACTGTTCCTTCTGAAGCCATTCATTTTTGTCACTTTGCTCTTAGAATAATATGATCTGTGATATGATCTTAATATGATCCATAGCTCCTTTGCTCTCTACTCCATCCTCATCACACACTGAGTTGTCTGATGTTCTTGTTGCTCTGTCCATACTGGTCCTCTTAAATCTTTTGCTCTTACCATGCTCCCTCCTGCCAGAGAGCCTTTGTACATGCTGTTTTCTCTTCTTTGAATGCTTTTTCTTCCAATCTTTAATAATACTTATGATACTTATAATTCATAATACTTATAATTCATATTTCAATTCAAGTGTCACTTTCTGAGGAAGCCATTTTTTTACCACCCTCAGTATTGTATGCTCAGAACCATAGCTGGCATCTGTTACTCTACCACATTATCTACCTCTCTAGAAAGTGAACAGCATAGGGCAGAGACCTTATTCATTTCGTTTACCATTAAATACCTCAGTGCCTGGTTTGATGTGGAAAATGCATTTTCATTGGGGAAATACTGCTTCCGAGGGGGCAAAATCGTGATTTTTGAAGGATGAAGAAATCTTAGTTATTACTGTGACTTGAGGCATTTCACAGTACTTAGAAAAGATACAGGGTATCTGTGGTATTACAATTTCATAGTGGTGGATATCAGAAAAAGCATCTAAAAAGACTCCTTGAGGAATAAAAATGAAAAAAGGTTGAGAAACACTGAAGGTAAGTGGATCAAAAATATGTTAAAAGTATTACTAAAATAAATGCATGAGACTTATCGTGTCTGTCCTGTGCACCATTTTCTCCATGGTTGTTTGAAGGGTGTATTCCAACACTAAGTAATTTTGAGTTTCCTGGTGTCTTTTTAAAATTTTATTTCCTATCCCTACCTAGTGTCCAAAGGTCATTTATGTAGAACCTATTTTGAATCAGACTGTGTTGTCTCTACACTGCAATGTTGAGTTTCCAAGGTAAAAACTGAGCAGACTGACCCAGCAGCCAAACTAAGCTCTCTATTGGCAAACACAAAAGAACATCATCCTGTTCATGATTAGTAGACACGATATAGTCATCTGCTGGTGCTTACAAAGCTCCCAAATTGCAACATTTAGTTTGTGGAGTCCTGTTAAACTGTCCAACATTTTGAAACACAAATGAATGACACTTAGTTAGACCACTCCTCTGCTTGTCTTTGACATTTCACTCTACCCCTATCCTGAAGGAGCTCACATTAAGACTTTCCCTTTTTGTACCTCTGGGTCATGATGCTGTTCTCCAATAAACACTTTCTTGTTTTTATTACAGCCTAATTCTGTGTTGGTCAACACTTATTCTTATCAGGTTATTTATCTCCAGCTCTAATCTTTTGTGGGCTAGGAAACCAGATGACAAAACTAGAGTGTTTAGAAGAAAGTTGAAGTGACTGTAGAATTACGGACTGGGAAGTTCCTTTTTGAGTAACCTACTCATCAACAAATGTGTCAGGCCCTGTACTAGGAACTGATTGTTGAATAATGTCTTTATGCAAATCTTCTGATTGCTTTTAGCTGCTTAGAAGCCAACTTTCCCTGTTCTCCCTACCACCTCCACATCCTCATCCTGTCTTTGTTTTGTTATGGCCTAATGTTCTTTATCTTCTAGACTTAAAGATTTGTCAGACAGACTGCCTAAGCAAATGAGGTATTCTGTTATTCCAAAACACAGTTTTCTCTAGCAAGGTAGATTTTTTTTTGATATATTTCTTGAAATATTGCTTCTTCATAATGGGTAACTTTGAAGGATTAATAAAGGATTTTAATATTATTCAATTTATTCTTCTCTATAAAATATAAATTGGCATTTATATCTCTTGTCTCTATATAAGGACACACTGCTATTAACTAGTCAATTCATCTTTTCCCATAAAGATCAGCTATGAAAAGCCCTATATTTGTGTACATATTTTCTGTACTGTTCTTTCTCTTGCCCATGGAGACTACATTCTATTATTTTCTTTATGTATTCAAACACTTTCCTATCTATGGTTGCTAACTGTAATGCTTTTTGTTCTGAATTTGATTTGATTTTTTTTCCTTAAACGTTCACCAGCTGCTTGACTTATTTATTTTGAACCCCAAGATATAAACACTGGGCCTCCCCGGTGGCGCAGCGGTTGAGCGCTGGACTGCAAATCTGCCTGCAGCCTCTGCAGCGCCGGTTCGATCCCTGGCCACCGGGCGAGGGTCCCACATAGCGCGCAGACCTCTCCTGCCGCCTGCTGCTCCCCTCAGCAGTCTATTTCGTCAGTCTGCCTGTTCTGTTCCCCGCTCTGGCTCTGGTGAATTCTCTTACCCTCCTGTGCTTCTGACTGTACCCAATGCTTGTATAAATAAATAAATAAATCTTAAAAAATAAAATAAAATGAAAAATATTTTTTAAAAAAGAAATTAACACTGCTTTTCTATGTGCTTTTCTTATATTCTCTTCCTCCTCTATATCCATGAATTGGACATTTTCATAGCATTTGTACCTATTATGTATTTCATTGTCTTTCATAATGATTATTAAAACTTGCGTTTGAACTCTCAGGGTATCTTTTCATTTGATAAACAGTTATGAACCCAGAAACTCTTCTCTGAGGGTTCATCTGGTTTATAATTCTAATAATTTAGAAATAGAGAACATAGTTCAAATATTTAGTCTGGTTAGGTCTTCATAAATCCATGCTTTGGTGGTGGCCATTTTCACCACTATTTTTCAGTTGATTGGCCAAAAGGTGTGGCAGTTGGGGTTGTGTGACATTGCGGAACATACTGAGCTAAACTGCATATTAATACCTGAGTGAATTTGAGCCATGGTGCACAGTGTTTCAAAAGACAAGTGTCTGTTCACTGCTATCAAGAGTTGAGAGCTCAGAATAAGAAACTGTCTTATTCTGTGTCCATTTATTTCTGTGTATCTATTTTGCTTGACAGAAAGCCTAATGAATATCAAATATTAGGCACTTAATAAATGCTTTCTGAATATTTGATGATCAAAAAAATCCTCATTTGACTGTCCATACTCAACTCATTTTTCTTCTCCATCAGCACCATTTACTTCCTAAGTCTTCTTTAATTCTGTTCTGGTGTTGTGAATATTTAAAAAATGAAAAATTGAAAATGTTTAATTGCTTTTGCATAATGTATTATCTGTGACATCAACTACCTAATCAATATTTTACCTCTAATTGAATTTGCACACATAAGGACATTATAAATGATGTTGTATGCACTCAATTTTGTCTTCTGTCTTCTGAAAGCTTTTCTTTTCTCCTCCATCTTTCCCATTATACTCCCTATTTGATGATGATCCTACTGTCTGCAATGGCATGCAGATGCGTAAGTTGAGTGAAAAGGCCCAAGCAAGAACTGATCACTAATTAGCAATGCATTTCCCATAGTGAAAAATTGGACTAAAGTTTCAAAAAAAAAAATAGAGTTGCTGAGGCTGAAAATTAGTCTGCCAGTTCAGACCCATAGCAAATTGTTATTACTTTCAAACTTAGGATCTTTACAATAGATAATTGAAGATTCTCTTAACTAAAACATTGTAAATGGCATAACTATGATGATCCCATTTGGAATTCAGCCCTTGTTTTCAGGGATTTACTGTTTTGAAAAATGTTTGATAAATTTATAGCAGAAGAGAAAATACTTCTGCCAACTACGTAAGTGCTTTGGACATAATTTGTATTCCTGCTGTTACATGCAGAAACGTGTGCCAGAGGAAAAAAAAAAAGTCAAAAGAAATTTTGTTTGGAAAGAAACCAGCGTCTGGAAAGGTAGTTTTAATCTATAAATATCTCTCTTAAGGAGAATTGAACACCAACTAAATTCAGTCTCAAGAAATAAAATGCTTAAGATAATCAAAATATTCCATTCACCATTCACTCATTTAAAAATGCTTATACTGGATATCATTTTTGATGAATTTTCGAATGAGAATGACCTCTGAGGATTATAATAAATTATTTCATAATGTAATGTAAAAAAATACAGTACAGCTTACATATCACAAAATGTGGGTGACAGTGTTGAAATGGAAATAATGTGAGATAGAACTGAAGGGCCTTGTTTACTTTACTGTCCTGTGTGGCCATTTTCTGGATCTCTGGATTGAAAAGCCTAGGTTTTCTCATTTATAAAATAGGATTAACTACTCCCAAGCTAAGAAGTCTAAATAAAATCATGTTGTGAAAATCTTTTATAAATTATGAAGCACCATATAAATTTATGATTATCTAAAAGAATTGTATCACATGGGATACTCTAAATAGAGAAATAAGATTCTAAGAAATATGTTATAACCACATGGTTCCACATATTGATAAAGCACTGCTAGACAGTTTCTAAATTTCACTTATAGCATATTGTTCCCCATATAGTTATTCCATGAAAGAAGGAACATTGCTTATTGAATATGAGTAAGTGTTAGTCTGTGGTTCTATCTTCTCTGACTTTGCTTCAGTTTTTTTGTAAGCCATGTTTCTGCTTCCTTCCCTTCAAGGACAAAAGGATTTAATGCTGGCCTAGAGTTTAATATTGGATATGTATTTAAAACATATTTTCAGAACCACTAGATGTCCAGCAAAAGGATTTGTTGACTTGCAAATGCTAATTTTGGACACATACCTATAATCATTTGAACACACCTGAGCATAACTACCCCCTCATATATTCTGTGCCCGAGAACATTTTTCTCTGAATTTCTACAAAGGTATAACTAGATGATCATTGAGAACTGTTCTCATAGAATCCTACAATAAGAACTGGAGTTTTTCTGATAGGAAATATAGAAAAATGAAAGCTGACAGGAAATTGGTAAATTCTAGGATCTGAATATTAGTTTATGCCCTAATGGCATTCACCAAGTGAGTCCTGAAATTCAAAGATGTCTTCCTGCTCTTACTGCACCTGGATGTTTTTGTCAACAGTAATAACAATAACAACAAAACATGATTCCGTCCAAATGATCTCTGTAGTCATCATGAAAAAATCATGAGGTATGTCGATTCACCATCTTCCTCCTGCCATAGAAGTGTTTTATTAAGTCCATTGCCACATGACCCAATCAAACACTTGTAGTTTGTCTTTAAAACTATAATTGATGCTCAATCAAAATTTTACAGACAAAATGCTTTTCATATCCTGGAAACTACCAGCACTGGTAAAGAAAATTGAAATTATGCTGTTTTCATAGCATGATAGTTGAAAAAGTTGTGAGTTCATTAGCACTGCTATAATCATTTAGAAATAGTTTCCTTGTTCCAAAATTCTCATAATGTGCTAACCTAGTTTGCAAGCAAAATGCCTGCCTAACTTTTGAAATGTAACATTCGATACCTGCCTTGAAAAATGCTCTTGGATTGGCAGCATTGTTCCTGTCCTATGAAAATTTTATAATATGTTTGTTAGTATATGAGAACAAAATCAGACTGTTTATTACAAAGATATTAATGAAAGATCAACTACATATATCTGTATCCAGGAGTTGTTAATTGAGTGTTCATGGTCAAACTTCAGGAAAACCCTTGTATCTTTTGAAATTATGTGTGAAGTTTTTGTCCATATAGTTGAAATATTTATTGGTGGGGGTTGTATAGTAGTTCATCATCCAGTAAACAATGAAACAACTATTCTGAAAAATATACATGAATTTTAAAATTATATTCATTCACATAGTTGACAAAAGCATAATTTTTTCCCCTCTATCTTCCCTGATGTCATTTAAATACTGTAAATTCATAGAATATTTTATTGGCATCTACCTTAATGATGCTGGTAACATTCTATTTGTATTACCTTTTTTGGGGGGATGTTTACAGTGTCATGTCTTCTCCACTGGTTGTGATGTATTTGAGGGTGGATTCATTTTATTCATATAAATTTAGCACAGTTAGCAACACCTAAAGAGATAGGATTTAAATTATTGTCCCTTCATGATCCCAAAGGTACTGTTTTAGGAGCTGGTGTTTAAAGACATGCAAATCAATACTTCTAATGTAAGTAAGCAAGGACATGGCAACAGTACAAACAGGGCACATTGATGTTTCTCTGTAGACATAGTCTTTGCGTGAGAAGATTTGTGGACAAATCTCATTTTTTGCTTAATTTAAGACTTAAAAATTATTGTATACTTTCCTTTTCTATCATCAGCCTTGCCCTGATTTATCATGCATTGTACTTCTTAGATGTTTATGAACTTTAATATTCCTCCATTGATCTATCACTTGTCACCCAGTCATATACTAATTTAGTTCTTTTTTGCTTCAAAAATATCTTAATATACAGATGGGCTGCTTGTATTAATGTTCTTCATTCTTTTTCTGAATATTTTTGATATTCTCAACCATAAATTATCAAGCATGGGACTCAAAATAAATTCTATGTTTTCAGATAAATTCTGTTAAGATTTTGATGTCTATCTGTATTCGTTAGGAATGCATTGGATTGAAAGAAACCAGATAAAAAGTAACTTTCAAAAAATATAGAAATTTTTCTCAGATAGCATGAAATTTGGATAAGGACAAACTAGAATTAGTGATGCTGTTTTTGAAAATTTTTCCCATTCTCCCTATCCTTCCATCCTTAACTTATAAGACATGTTCAGCTTCTTACCTTAAAGTCATAAGATAGCACATACACCATTAAACCACAGCTCTGAGTTCTAGACAGAAAGGTGGAGGAAGGACTAAATAAATGGAACCATTTTTAGTGTCCCAGCGGCTTTTTGCCTTTTTATAGAATGAGAAGCTTTGAGATTGTCACCTACTTGCATTGACATATAACATTACAGGGTACAGCATGGACACCAGAGAGTTCACAAGTAGAGATTTAAAGGCTCTAAAATGACAGATAATCAACTATGAGTAAAAGTTAATGCTGTTGAATCAAATTGATCACCCGGTGATGCAGGTAGTCCTTGTGGTACTATTCTAATTTTCTACAAGTTAAAAATATTCATAATTAGAATGTAAATATTAGACACAATTGACCTGAATGAAATGTTCATCTTTATCTGTTAAAATATTAAAATTTAATAATGACTTGCTAATTTCCTACTTAAATTTATGGAATGGAAAATTTGACAATGGTTCTAGAGGGAGAATGAAATCATACTGAGAAGCAGGGCTAATTAGGAAAAAGTAAAATATGAGTTTTATTTGTATAGAAAAGGCTAAAGAATAACATATTAGTGTTTTCAGGCTTACAGGATTTTTATAGGATGCAAAATGTCTGTTCATTTTTCCCCTTCTGGGAATAGAGAATAAGTCCTAATACTAATTATAAAAACTTGCATTTGCATAGCACTTTATGCATCCCCAAATACTTTTCTGTATTCAGATAGAAATGGTTGTAGAAAATTGAAGTGAGCTACCTAGAATAATTTAAGATTCACCTTCATTCTTTGGAAAAGAACAGACAACTCATGACAGATGGGTTGTGCAATTCTCCAGTGGTTAAAGAGGAGCAGTATATAAATTGGGATCCTTTCTATTTATGCTTTTATACTTCCTATCCCTTATTATACAAAACAAACTGTGCTTAAATAAAATGTTAAATCCAAAGTACCCATATGGAAACCATTCTCCAAAGAGCAGCACTTAATTAGACCTGAAGTCTATTAATTCACATATTGTTTTTTTGCCTGAAAGCTATATTCAGCAAGTGATATTTCTATAATAGAAGCAGTTATCATTACTGAAAAGTGAATCTCTACCATTCGTGTAAAGTGGTACTTACTGAGTTTTAAAACACATATAACACCCCTAATACTTTGGATTCCAAGGGAGGTTAGCCCTTTAACTGCTGGCAGTGAAAATAGGATTTTCTTCCTAGCTGCCATGTGTTTCCAGAAAAACGTGTGATCAAAACAAATGTCAGCTATAGATATGTTTATATGTTTTGCTTTGTGACATCTTTCCCATTTGAATTGGCCTCTTTTAAATTCTTACATTTCATTGGGGCAGCTTTAGATACTTATTTGTAGATTTGTGGTCTTTATTCTTTTAGCCAGGTTTTATTTGATGGGGTTTCCTTCTAAATTGTTTTCTGTGTTGGTTAATGTATAGGCCAATGAAAAACAAAATGTGCATCTCAGGAGGCAGTCATGTGGCCCTCAAGACTGTAACTGTTGAATCAAACAAATTCTGTAGGAGCATTTAAGTACCTTTCTCTGACTTATGTTAATGAATAACTAGGTAAAAATATTCAAATTAGCCCTGTTTCCTGATGAGGAGATTAGACATACAACCTATTCAGAGCAAATCTTTAAGATGAACTCTTCAGAGTGTAATTTAACCGCTGCTTGTGAAAGCCAGATACTATGATTTTCAATTCAGTTTGCAAGTAGTAGAACTTTGGTTGAGCAGAACCTGGGCATCCAGCCTGAAGGGACTTCCACCTAGGCAGGCACCCTGGGCCATGAAACCTCACCTTAACCTAAGGGAGGTCAAGATATAAGTCTGTACTGACCTGACAAGATTTTCTGAAAGTACTTAGTCAAGACCCAAGAGGCAAATGAAAATCGAAAAACCTAGGGAGACACATAAATTAAGCCCCATATAACAAAATGAAAGACCAAAACATTGTTTAGGAACTAATAATAACCACTAATAAAAAAAAAAGAACCTTTGCAAGATAAAGAAATCTCTTCAAAAGAAAACAATCAAGTGTGCAACATATACAACAATAAAAATAGGAACAAAATGTAAGAAAATTAGAGGATTCATCTATACAGTACATCCCTGACACATTAGAATTTCAAAAATAAAGACAGAAAAAAATGAAGAATATTGTCTAAGAGATAATGGAAGATTTTCAGGCGTTTAAGGTAAGAGTAAATTAAACAGACACTCCATGTTCCTACCCATCACCATCAAGATTTGTAGTGTGAAATTACCCAAAAGCTTGCAAAGAGGAAAATAAAACAAATAAAAAGAAAGTTATATTCAGATCAATTTGAAATAAAACATGCTATTGAAACAATAACAACGAACATGCTAAGAACAACGAGTATATGACAATGAAGAAATGCATTTGAAATCCTACCTTCTGAACTTGGAAACTATCATTCATAATTTTTAAATTCACCCTGTTTATTGTTTTGTCACTCAACATTTGTTTAGAATTTTTTGTTTTTACTAATGCTTTTTTGCTCATCATATCTTCTGGCGTCACATCACAGACTTCCTTCTGGAATCATTCTTTTTCCAGAAAGGTATCCTGTAGACATAGTTGATGGTAAATAGTCTCATTTTCATTTGACTGAAATTTTCACTATTTATACTTTGGTCTTGGATGAGAGTTAAGCTGGACATTTAATTCTACAGTCATTTCCACGGTCCTTTCCTCAGTACCTTAACAATAGTAATGTGGGTGTATAGTTGCTGCCATTTTAACTGTCACTCACTTTTATATAACTGCATTGTCCTGCCTTTATTCTTTTAAATCAGCTCTTGGACTTAGATTCTTTACAATTTTACTAAGGGTGTTTAGATGTTGATAAATATTTTTCTTGTTTGGGATTCCAGAATCCTGAATTTCTATATATTTTATTATGTTTTTTTTTAAATACCCACTCTTCTTTATAATATTTCACCTTTTTTTTATACTCCTTTTTAATCTACCACTAGGTTTATTTTGGAACCTTTTTTCCTCATATTTCACGATTTTCATATTTTCTACCTACTCTATTTATTTCAACTTTTTTAAGTTTACTCATCCTTCTCATCCTTCTTTAGCAGCACCTACTTTGCTATTTAATATTTTTCTCGTTGCTAGCAATCTCATTTTTTTCCAGATCACTTGACATTTTAATAGTATTTTATTACTTGCTCATGGTTTCAATGCAGTCTTATTTCTGTAAAGTTTAATTTTCATTATAGCATGTATTTTTAAAGTTTGAAGTTCTTGAGAATCAAAATTTGTAATGTGTCAGATTTTGCTTTCATGAGTAACTGTCTATTTCCTGGAGCAGCCAGGAAACACATAGTCCATCCCAGGACTGTTAGACCTAATAAACAAATTCAGTCAAATTGCAGGATATAAAAATCAATATACAATATACACACAAGTATTTCGTATTTCTCTAAGATCAGGAATAAGACAAGGATGTTTACTCTCTCCACTTGATTTCAACACAATATTGTTGAATAAGCCTGAGCAATTAGGCAGTATCATGAAACAAAAGACATCCAATTTGGAAAGGAAAGACTAAAATTCACAAACATGATATTATACATGGAAACATAATATTCTATATATAGACAACACATTATATATATGTATATATCATGACAACATATAAAATATTTCAGCAAGGAAGATAAATGAAAAATATTGATAATTGTTTAACCTATGTGATGAATATGTGGAGTTTATTATATATTCTCTCTACTTTGTGTTTGAACACAAATAAAACATAAAATAATTTAAAAATGTGTGTCATTTGGGGTCACTACCTTTCTCTCTTTCTTTCTGTCCTCTTGCGTTCATTGAAGTATGGCACACTTAGGATTCCAAATTATTCAATGTAGAGGTTGACATAAAAGTGCAAATTCTATACAGTGGTGATAAATTACAAGTGCACAGACTAACATTTCTCATCTTGTTTTGGACAAGATAGAGCATTAACCAATTCATTCATGCAGGACCTTTTAAGGTTTATTAATTTTTTTTCTTTAAAAGTGATGGGAAGTCAATGTAGGGTTTTAAATAGGGGGATGATGTGATAATATTAGAGAACTGAAAAGATCACTTTGACTGTCCCTAGGAAAATGAATTATAGGGTAAGCAAAAGGGGGATAAGAAATCCAGTCTAGTCAATCACATATTCATGAAATATATTTCTTGAACATTAGTCTGTGTTAGTGCTAAGTGTTGAATTGATGCATTGGTAGAATGG